ATGCAAGACCAACGTAACTAAACATCTTACCCCTTCCAAGCCCTGTGATTTTTATCACCGATTGCCACGTTTTTGAAGAAACTCTCGCCATCGCCTGGAAAAGGACAAGCTTCCAATCAGGAACTCTCAGGCACACCACATAGTTCGACATTGTATCGTCGCCAACTAGCTCTTCAACACTCCTCTTTACTCCCCTTTTTACAGCCACCCCTTCGACAATTTTATTGACGATGGCCTTCGCTTCTGGGTCGCCAGATGTGCAGATGTTTCAAAGCACCATCGCCAAACTTGCCCTGTTTCTTTCGCACACGAAGACGCGACTGCTTCGCTGCTTCATCAACAGCACCTTTTCTGGAGTATCCAAATCTTCCTTTTCGCTGATATCCTTTAGATTTGGGGAAACTTCTTGTTTTCAGCTCTTTGCGAGTTTCCACTGTTTGAGGGTGTCATGGCCACAGATGACGATGTCTTGCTCGTTGGTGTCGTTGGCATTTTCAAACGCCGTGAAGCAAGTGGTCGTTCTTTGTTTGCTTGGCTTTCGTTTTCTTCGTCAACAGACCTGTCACTGAAATCTACTGTGTTCAGCAGATCTCTCAGCTGCGAAATGAACTCAGAGCTTGCCGAAGAAGAAAGGCGAAGCAGAGTGGTTATCAACCCAAACGAGGAACGAAAAATTTCCGTTACATTTGAAGACTTCTTGTTAGAGTAATGGCGGCAGCCATCTTGCAGCCGAATGTAGGCACCGTCGATTCTTTGAAAATCGCCTGAAACACTTGCGACAACAGGCGACCCGTTAAATATTTTGTCGGCGTTGTTCCAAAAACTTTCGAACTAAGGATGTACCAACTCAATTGTGGACTTAATTCAGGGCTGATCACTCAGGTGAAGAGTGAGAAACCCTTCCTCGGTGCCATCTTTACTGCTACTAAATCACGCGCTTGTAGTACGAATGTGCAGAGAAAAGATTGGCGGGCAAAAACCATGCCATTTGAATATTGACATAGTAACATTATTCTGGTGCTAACTCGAGAGTGTTGATAACTTGAGCTAGTCGGCCCATGACATATCTAATGAGATTAACTACGGGATAATCACACCCGAAAGAGACGAGCGCAGCGGGCTTAATACTTACAGTGCAAAGCACTGCGCGGAATTTCTTTCTCCGGTTAGAAATTAAACTTTGATATCATGGGAGGCTGACAAATTTAGTAAAGCAAAATTAAAATGCAGTTCAATTTCGTTTTGTTTATCCTACTTTAATGTCTAATTTGCCCAGAATTGCTAAATGTTTGAAACCCGAGCTTCAATTAAGAATTCTTAACGATTCTTTATCGTTTAGTTAATGAGAAGCCGCCTCCAAAGAGCTATTAAAGGACCCCTTTTAACGATAAATGAAGAGACTTCTTGATTTATTGATTATCGTCGAAAAAAATTGAGCCCATAAGTTCAATTTCATGTGCAAAACAAAATCCACATCTTCAGTTCTTAAAGCTTGTTAGTTCGATTAACCCTCGAGGAAACACTCTTCTGTGTAGAACGTGTCGTTTTTTTTAATTAGGACTTTAAGTGGCTCCGAAATAAAACCCTTTATCTGTACTCATGTTTATCATTTAGAAAACTAAATCTGACCAAACAATTTGGATATATCAACAAAGTTGAAATGGTAAATTGGCCACCGTAACGATTACAAAAGCTGACGTTTCGAACGGTAGT